TCCCTCCAAGTCCGGGCCCACCGACCGAGGGGCCCAGGAAAAATCCCCCCACCCTCGTCGAAGATGCCCTCCGGAGGCTCCGTCTGGTCCCCTCCTCACTCCGTCGTTTAATACGCTTGCGCGAGGACAAAGTTAAGACTCCAGCGGCACCTATCAGGCCAACGAAGTTTTATTCAAGGTGGGAACTTCCGTGTGCACGCACACTTCATCAGACTAGCTTGTGCTAGTTTAGGCTGCAGGGTCCTCGGGGCAGAGACCTTCCCTCTTGGTGCTTCTTTGGGGAGGCAGGCAGGGGCGGCTTTTTCCTGCTGGGGGGGACCCCGACAGCCCGCCGAATTCCCTGGGGAGAGGCAAAGCAGACCCTTGCCCGGAGAACTGGCCCCCTCTACACACACACACCCAACTCGGCATCTCGAAGAGGCTTTGAGTGCCATCTAGCGACAGTCTCTGGCACAGCAATTTCTTAGGTGTGAGTTTTAAAACCTGATCCCATCAGATCTCGTAAGTTAAGCAGGGTCGGCCCTGGTTAGTACTTGGATGGGAGACCCACCAGGGAAGTCCGGGGTCGTGACGCAGAGGCAGGCAATGGCCAACCGCCTCTGAACCCCTCTTGCACCGAAGACCCCATGAGGGGTCATCATAAATCAGCTGTGACTTGACAGCTTTGGCAGCCCCCCCTCCCCCCCGGCAAGCCAGGCTCTTTAATCCTGTTAGCCAGCTTGGTGTAGTGGCTAAGTGCGCAGACTCTAATCTGGGAGAACCGGGTTTGATTCCCCACTCCTCCACTTGCAGCTGCTGATGTGACCTTGGGTCAGCCACAAGTTATCTCACAGCTGTTCTCTCAAGGGCAGTTCCCAAAAGAGCCCTCTCAGCCCCACCGACCTCACAGGGTGCCTGTTGTGGGGAGGGGGAGGGAAAGGAGATCGTAAGCCGCTCTGAGACTCCTTCGGGTAGTGAAGGCCGGGGTATAAATCCAATCTCTTCTTTTCTTCTTCTTCTTCTCATCTCTATAGTTTGGCAGTTCGGTTTCCCAGCAAAACCAATCTTCATCCCCCTCCATAATGCATATAAAATTTGCAGTGACCTTCACACCATCAGCCCTCTGGTTTGCAAGACCCACCTCTCTATGATCTGCCAGGACAGCTTCGCTTATGTCAGCAGGGCCTTCTCCAGGGGCCAACCTGCAAATGGGCGAAATCAGCATAAGAACCTCAGAAGGGAAGAGCCCTGCTGGGTCAGACCAGTGTGGGTCCATCTAGTCCAGCCTCCTGCCTCACACAGTGGCCAGCCAGTTCCTCTGGAGGGCCAACAACAGGGCAGAGAGGCCAAGGCCTTCCCCTGATATAGAACATCAGAAGAGCCCTGCTGGGTCAGACCAGGGAGGGTCCATCTAGTCCAGCCTCCTGCCTCACACAGGGGCCAACCAGTTCCTCCGGAGGGCCAACAACACATTATAGAAAGGCTGAGGCCTTCCCCTGATGTTGCTTCCCGGCTCTGGGATTCAGAGGTGGACTGCCTCTGAATGTGGAGGGTCCCCTCAGTCACCATGGCTGGTAGCCATTGATAGCCTTAACCTTGAAGAATCCATCTAAATCCCCTTTGAAAGCTGTGTATTCCTGTGGCCATCACAACATCCTCTGGCAGTGAAGTCCACCTTTTGCTCTCTCTCTGTGTGTGTAAAGCAGTAGTTCCTTTTGTCTGTCCTGGACTGAACCGCCCACTCACCAGATTCAACTGCCAGCACACCTGCCTTCTCTGTTGTGGGCCCCCAACTTTGTGGAACGGTTTGCCCAGGGACTGTCCATAGGGGTTTCACTAGAGAAGACCCTGATGCTGGGAAAGATTGAAGGTAAAAGAAGAAGGGGATGTGTTGGGTGATAGTGAGATATTGAAAAAAATGGTATTTAGCAGAGATAAGATAGTCCAGTAGAGCCAGAGTAAAATAATTCAGACTGAGAGTCCATGTGTGATTAAAATATAAAGTTTTTACTAAATTCTAGCATGGGGAAGGGTAACTGGGATGAAAATAACAACAGAGCAAAATCGGCTACATCCTTACTCCACAAAGACAAAACTAGAAGAGAGAGGTTATGGCTGCTCTTCTTGTTTCTTCAGAACACCAAAAACAAAGACGGGAAGAGAAGCCATAAAATGGTAATACCCCTTGACACTTTAGTCCCAATCAAATCCCTAGATCAGGGAGAAAATTCCCGGGCTTCCTACATCAAAAGAACATTGGTTACATGAAAAACATGTGACTTCCTGTGAGTAACATAAACAAACATTTAACCCCAGATATACTGAGTGTTTTCAACTTGTAATACCCAACAGGATAGCAAAGGATGAGATGGTTAGACAATGTTATCGATGCAACAGACATGAAATTAAGCAAACTCCGGAGGACAGCGGAAGACAGGAGAGATGTGGTCCATGGGGTCACGAACAGTCGGACTCGACTGTGCGACTGAACAACAAAATTTCCCAGGGAAGTCAGGAAGGCCCCCTGCTCCCCCCCCCCCCGCCTTCCTCAAACGATGCAAAATGGAACTCTCCCAGGGGGCTTTTCTGTCCAGGTCACAGGGCTGCCCAGTACAAAAGGATTCACAGACTTGCTTGGGTAACTAATTGCAGGCTGCGCTGCTTACTGAACATAGGATCCTGTTTATGCAATTTTTGTTCCACTTAATGTGCTGTGTGAATCCTTCCGTTGTGCTTCTATTTCTTTCTGGTGGTTCTAGACTTCTGGCACCCAAATGCCTCGGTTATTGGACGTCCTGATGGGTCTCGGTTTAGTTTTGGAAATTTATAAAAGCAGTTTTAAGACACATAGGCTCTTGGGGGTGGGGGAATTAACAGAATCAAAAAGGAACATGTGCAGTAGAACTTCTTGCTTCAGAGGTCCATCGGTGGCTATTAGCCACAAGGTGTAGGTAGGAACTCTCGGTCTGGGGCAAGGGATGCTCTGTATTCTTGGTGCATGGGGGGAGGCAACAGTGGGAGGGCTTCTAGTGCCCTGGCCCCACTGCTGGACCTCCCGATGGCACTTGGTGTTTTTGGCTACTGTGTGACACAGAGTGCTGGACTGGATGGGCCATTGGGCTGATCGAACATTGGCTTCTCTTAATGTTGTTAAATAAAAAGGTCGGCTGAATAGTTAATGCATTAAAAGCCATTAGCGTTGTGCCTGGCCGATGGGCACCTACACATATTAATGAGTGTACCTGTGAAATATATCCACTGGAAGGATTTCAAGATAAACATGAGCAATATGGACACGCCGACTGTCATACATATACAGCCTGTACTTGGAGAAAGACGGGGGTATCCAGGACAAGACAAGATCTCTGTTCAGGTACTAACTGAATGTTTAACTGCCTTCCTACGGGAATGAGCTATTTTTGTAGGTGAACACAGGAAGAGGAGAGAAGAGATTGGATTTATACCCCGCCCTTCACTCGGAGTCTCAGAGCTCCTTACAAACTCCTTCCTGTTCGGATTCTTTTTAAGTTAATCAGCAGAGTATTAAGAGACTGAGTCCATGGTGTGTTTTAAAAATATAAAAGTTTACTATAAACCTAACATGGGAAAAAGGTACACAGGATATAAAATAACAAAGAGCTGATATGCCTACATTCTTACAGCTAAAGGGTAAAATGGGAAGAGCCGAAATGGCATCTCCTTCTCAGTCGGAACCAGGGCTCTTTTTGTAGAAAAAGCCCAGCAGGAATTC